CCTCGGCCCCTGCTCCAGGTCGTGGAGGCCGCCGAGGCCGGCGGGCTTGTCTTTGCCGGCCTTTATATTGCCCGGCATGCCTCTGGCTGCGGCCTCGGCCAAGCCCCGGCCAAGGCCGCTTCATCCCGGCCGTCTTAAGCACATAAAACTTCTCGCTTATGACTAGCGGCGGCCAGGGCGGCGCAGTGTGCAAAATTCACTATCGCCAAAGTTTTGAACCTTCCCGCGCCGCGCCGTGCCGTGCCGTGCCTCCCGCCAACTTCCGGCGAATAGTAATTGACTGGCGAGCGGCGTGAATACGTAAGGCTGCAGAGGAACAATGAACTATCTGGCGGGACTTTGAGGAGAGCCTTCATTAATGCACGGCACTGCAGCGGGATGGGGATGAGTCATGATGATCGCCGTGATGCGAATTAGGCGCCGCCGCCGAGTGCCACTTGGGGACGGCGCACAGTGGGCCAGAAGACCGGTGGAGGCGGCCAAAACTCTAGACGCGTTTTGAGCTCCAGAGTCGCGAAATGGGACTCGAACCGAACGTGTGACCCCACCAATGGATTCATCGTTCGGAGAGCAATCCATTGGTGGGGTCACACGTTCAGTTTGTGTCCCATTAAGCGACTCTGGAGCTCAAAACGCGTTCGGAATTTTGGCCGCCTACATCGGCTTTCTGGCCCACTGTGGGACGGCGCGGAACGGCACGGCTCTGCTCGGCGCGGTGCATTTCGCTACCGCGACTTAACTGCGTCTGTGTTTCTTTGAGCTAGTTGCCGCAAAAGTTACCCGAGCGACTGCCGACTGGCGGGTGGCGGCGCCGCCGCGGCCCTGCTGGCACACTATACAAATATAAGCGCGTTTCCGCCGCGCCCCGGGCGCCATCAAAATGCACACCGAACAGAACACGGAACAGCCCCTCACTCTCTCTCTCCCCCCGCGGTCGCCATTTTTCCGGCAAATTGTGTTTTTCTAATTAATATTTTTGGGCACGCTCGGCGCGGCATGTGCAAACCAACCTGGGCGCAACGCAGCGCGGCCTGTTTGAGCCGCCATCCATAAGTCATCGCCAAACATAGGGTTGCCTACCGCGTCGATGCGGGGTGTTTGGCTGGAGAGAGGAGAGAGAGTCGGAAAGATACAGTGAAAGAGTGTGTCAGAGTGTCAGAGAGTGAGAGAGTGGGAAAGTGAGAGAGATAGGTAGCGAAATCCTTTACTTTTTTTGCGCTTGAGACGTGCCGTTGTAGCAGCACGCCCGGGCCGAGAGTGGGGCTGGCTGGCTTGGTCTGAATATGCGACCAGCTAATGACCCGGCGCCTGCAGTCGGCAACCCGCTCCACATGAAATGCGACACACACACACACACACACACACACACACACACACACACACACACACACACACACTCGCAGCGTCGACGGGGACGGTTGCCGGCTGAACATGGGACGCAGTCCTGGTGGAACACACACCGAGGGAAAAACAGGCACTTGGGGCGCGTCAGGGCGTGGCGAGGCGGGGAGGGGAGGGGGAGGGGGCAGAGGGACGGGGCTAGGCGTAGGTGCACTACGACTGTCGCGTAAAAAGTATACCGTACGAAAGCGTTTCAAACCGTTGCCTTGTCCGCCAGCCCCTCACCCCTAGAGTCCTCCCCGAAAGGCAGCAGCAGGTTGTCGGCCTGGATGCTGCCCCGCCCCGCCCCGCCCGACCGGGGTCACGGGGGGTCCTTGCTCCTCGGCAGTCAGCAGACGGGATAATTAAACGCGCGCGGGGAAAAAAAGCGCAAGTGGCTGTGAGTTTTATGGTGACGCCTATGTCGCGACGTGGCGCGCATTTTGAATCTCGGCCCAAGGCGCCCGCGCGGCCAAAGGCAACGCGGCCAAGGCGCGGGACTGTGGCCCCCCCCCGCCCCGCCCCGCCCCGCCCCGCCCCTGCGCCGCGGCGTAGTCCAGGGCGTTGAAGGATCGTTGGAACAGAAAGCTGGCGGAGCATAAAATTGCATTTAGGTTGGAGTCTGCGCGGCCGCGGCTCACTCCCACGCGATGCAAAACAGGCGAGAGGAAGGAGGCGGGGCGGGGCGGGGCGGGGCGGCCGGAAGGTGGTTGGTTAGGTCGGCCTGGCCTGGCCTGCCCCCGGCCCGGCCAAGACGGCCGGCCGTCTCGTGCCGAAGGAGCGTCTCGTCTCTCTCGCACTCCAACGGCACGCCCCATGAGTGCGAGAGAGACGGGCCGCATCTCGCGCGCAGTGAGGCGGCCGAAGTTACCGTCGCCGCGGCCTGCAGTCTGGAGTATGCAGCGCAAAATAATGCAATCACTGCGCCCGGCCGAGAGAGAGAGAGAGAGAGAGAGAGAGAGAGAGAGAGAGAGAGAGAGAGAGAGAGAGAGAGAGAGAGAGAGAGAGAGAGAGAGAGCTGAAAGTTGTACGCGCCCAGTTTGCAGCCTGCAGCCATTATTTGTATCTTCCCCTTCTTTCGCCATCATCGTCGCCGTCATCATCACGGCCTGCATTTTTCATCCGCGGCCTTCATTAATTATCCGCGGGGTGTGGTAAATGGTAAATGCGCGCCGAGGACGAGCGGCATGATTAGTTTGCTGATCAATAGTTAAACATCAACACCGATTACGGCCCTTTTCTTTTTTGCCCCGCGCCGCGGCCGAGAGAGAGAGAGAGAGAGAGAGAGAGAGAGAGAGAGAGAGATGGAGAGAGGCGGGGGAGGAAGACGCATTTCATTTACATGAATAATTGGCCAGGCCGCCGCCAAGCCGAAACGCCAAAACTCAAAATATTGCCCCTGCCGCCCCCCCCCTCCCCTTCGCGTCCGCGGCCCTCCGGCGGCGCCCTGACGAACACAGTCGTGGATTCCATTAATAATAAATTGACGCTTAACAACACCAGCAGCTCACCCCTTTGCCTCCCGCTGCGCCTCTGAATGTGTGTGTGTGTGGAGGGGGGGGGGGGGGAGGACAGCTGTGTAGGGGTCCGTTCTGGCTGCTGCGAGTGACAACGCCAGTGAGGGGTAAAACCTTTCCAAAGTGCCTCCGGGAAGTCTAAATTCACGCTGCGCCGCCCGCGCAGTATTTTTCTTTTTTTGTTGTTTTTTTTTCTGGACTCTAAAGGCCAACCCCGGCCCCTCGCTCGGGCCGTGCATGGATATGGGTCACCAGCGTGCCGGCCGGACCGGGGCGGCCCCGCGCTGGCACACTGCAGCGCCCCATAGCGCCCCCAGAGGGGCCCTTTGCACCTGCCTCGATTATGCGCTCGTCTGGACAGAAGCGGCCGGTGTATGGCCGAGCCGAGCCGAGCCAGGCTGGACCGCGTTATGGCACCGCCGGGCCCGGGATCGAATCCCCGCCCCGCCGCTTCGCAAGGGAAAACGGAAAAACAACTTTTTGTCGTCGCTTTGCGATAAAGGCGAACCCGTGTGAACCGCCGCTTTCGACTCGAAGACGACAGGCTGACCCCTTTGGACCCCTTTGGCAAGGTCGCGGGGTCCATTAGATTATCTTTTCATTCTTTTAAAAACGCGAGTAGCTGCCGTCGGGCTTGTCCGTCCACCCGTCTGTCAGCTTTTGTCTGTCTGTCTGTCTGTCTGTCTGTCTGTCTGTCTGTTCGCCCCGCGGGGAAATGAGGGTGGCAAGTGGAGGTAATCAGGCGGGTGAAGAGTTGATGGAGTCGCGGGCCGCGACAGCGGCGCCACCTCTCACGTCGCGCCCTGTCGCCTTCGCGGCCCCGGCCGTTTTTCCTGTCCGGCTCCACTGACAGCTGGACAGGCTTGGCCTCCCCCTACGCCAGCGGTTCCCAACCTTCTTCGGCTCGCGACCCCCAAATTTGTAACAAAAAATATCCGCGACCCCAGGAAAAATTTCGCGACCCCACGCGACCCCTCTTTTAGCATGCCTTTGTTACGGAGTGTGATTATCGGCCTTAAATTGGGAGCAGTATTGTCTCAAAGTTGATGAAACAGTAAGAAATGCCTTTGCATGCCATTTTGATCCACTTTGGACAATACTGCTCCCAAACTAAGGCCGATAATCGCACTCCGTAACAAAGGCATGCTAAAGGAAGTCCAAAGACCAAATGCCCGCTGAGGAAGGACGAAATACCTTGTCGGATCAGACGCAGTTGCTGCTTAAGTCGGCCTGAAACACGAATTTTCAAAGGCATTTTCGACCGTTTTGAACATTCTGCCAGCCGGGAAACAGCCGCGACCCCAGGCGACCCAACCACCTCGCCGCGACCCCTCGAAATTTTTTCGCGACCCCATTTGGGGTTGCGACCCTAAGGTTGGGAACCGCTGCCCTACGCAGTTCCGGGTTTCCGGTTACGGGCTTCTGGTCCTGGGGTTTCTGGTCCTGGGGTTTCTGGTCCTGGGGTTTCTCACCGTGGGGTTTCTGGCCCTGGGGACCCTGGGGTTTCGGGCCCTGGGTTTCCCCACGTTTCCAGTTCAGAGCTTCTAACCGGTTCTGGGTTTCTAGTTTCTTGGTTCCTGCTTCCGCCATGCGACGCGCTCGTTCACAAATTGTTTGCATTCATCTGGCCCACTGTGCGCCGCGACCCCAGCGCCGCGCCGCCGCGCCCTCCAACCTCGCCGTCACGTACGACCGTACCGGGGCCTGGCCCTGCCGACTGATTCCGAAGGATCGTGTCGTCGGTCTGTCTCTCTCGCACTCACGGCGCACCCCGATGAGTGCGAGAGAGACAGAGCGACGAAACGACCCGTCGGAATGAGGCGGCTGGGCCTTCCCCTTCAGCATCACCAGCGACCCCTCGGCCCGGCCAGGACGCCCTGCCGCGCCCTGCCGCGCCTTAACGCGGCGTCGCTTAATGAAAACGCGACTAGGTAAAGGAAATCTGCATTTTACAAGATGAGCCGGCGTATAAACGGCCAGGGGAGAGTCAGGGGCGACAAAAAAAATCGGTAGGGGAGGGCGAGTCAGGATTCTTCGCTGATTTTCGATGCCCGCGCTTTTTCGAGGGTCCGTCGCAAAACGATTTTTTTTCCTCGTTGTGACATGGCGGTTTGTCCTGCATGGGCCTATGGGGAGGGGGAGGGGGTGTCGCGATTTGTGGCCGGTCCCCGCGTGGAACGTGCCGCGTGGCAGGAAGGGGCGAGAATGAGGGCGGGGGTCGGGGAGGAGGGGAGGGGGAGAGGATCGCCCGTGTCTCCCGGCCACGTCCCTTACACCGAACCGCAGGACTCCGTGCCACTGGCTGGCAGTGCCTGCTCGCCAAGTTGGCGTCCAAGTCCTTGCTCACACGCACAGCGGCAGAGCGGCACAGCCAAGACGAGCCACGCCCCTCGCCAGCCCCAGCACTGCCTGGTTTGACCCCCTCCCCCTCCCCCCAATCTAGAGCGCTGAGCCCCACTTAAACGAGAGGCGGCCGAATTCCTATTCTGCTCATGTCATTTGACTAAGTTTGCGCTCTTCCTTTTTGCCGGCTGAAAATTGACGCCGAACTTGTGCTTCTGTGTGCTGCAGCCTGGAGATGCTGGGGGAGTACCTCGCCTCGCCGTCGCCGGCCTAGAGGCGCCCTCCTACGCCATGGCCTCCACCGCGGCCTCCGCCATGGGCGTGCTCGGCGCTCGGCCGCCGGCCTCGGCGCACGACGGCGCGCGCCCCACGTGCCCGACGACGTGGCGGACCACGTGGCCGCGGCGGCGGCGCAGTCAGCCGACCCCCGGGACCGACCGCGCCGACGGCCTCGGCCAGCAGAGCACGCCGTCGACGCGCGGCGCGCCCTCCCGGACGCACCAGGACGCCTGGCGGTGCCGGCCTCGGCCGAGGACGCCGTCGACGCTGTGGTCCCTGGTGGCAGTGCTGGCGCTGCTGGCGGCGGGCTTGGCGCCGGCCTCGGCCTTCTGCCCGCAGGGCTGCGTGTGCAACACGCTGCGCATCTCGTGCGAGAACGCCGGCCTCGACGTGGTGCCGTTCCAGCTCAACCCCGAGGCCACCACCATCACCCTCAGCGGCAACAACATCATCACCCTGGAGTACACCGTCAACTTCTACCAGCAGCTGCAGCACCTGGACGTGTCGCAGAACAGGCTGCAGTCGCTGGGCAGCAAGAACTTCGACGCGCTGGAGCGGCTCACCAGCCTCAACGTGAGCAGCAACGAGGTGGGCGCGTTCGGCAAGGACGCCTTCAAGGGCCTGCGCTCGCTGCGCGTGCTGGACCTCAGCAACAACCTGGTGGAGGCGCTGGACCGCCACATGTTCGCCGAGATGCACGACCTGTGGGAGCTGTACCTCGGCCGCAACCGGCTGGCCTCGGTGGCGGACGGCGTGTTCGACGCGCTGGTCAACCTGCGCGTGCTGCAGCTCGGCGACAACCAGCTGCTGGCCGTGCCCAGCGCCGCCATCTACCGCCTCACCTCGCTGCGCGCGCTCGGCCTCGGCGCCAACCTCATCGAGGACGTGGGCGAGAACGCCTTCGCCAACCTGCGTGAGCTGAGCGTGCTGGCGCTCGACAACAACGTCATCTCCTCCATCGACGCCAACGCCCTGGAGGGGCTGGGCTCCCTGGAGCGGCTGGAGCTGGCCGACAACAACGTGACGAGTGTGCCCACCGCCACGCTGGCCCGCCTGCGCCGCCTCAGCTACCTGGACCTCAGCGGCAACATGTTCGCCTCCGTGGGCGCCGCCGCCTTCCACTCGCTCAGCGAGCTGCGGACGCTGCGGCTCAACCGGCTGGTCAGGTAAGGCGGCACAAATTTTCAAGATCCATCAAATTTCCAGTCGTTTCGCACCTAGGGCTTTGCGGCATGCAAGACCTGAGCCCCGTCCCGTTGTTGCCCCGCTGGACCGAGGTCCAACCTGGAGCCCCAATCGAACCCCACTGAGTCAACATCTGACTCCCCGGGTCAAACAGAATTCGGAACGGGAACGGGGCCCAAGTCTGCATGCCGACTCTCCGTAGGCAACACGTGTGGCAAATACACCCAAAACCCAAGGGCGGTAATATTGCTACGGCGGGATCCTTTTTTTACCGCCTACAAAAATTACCGCCCTTTGAAGGCAATAAATTTACTGCCTTCAAAAAGGGTGGTAATTTTTTACCACCCTTGGAAAGGCGGTAAAAAATAGATTCCACCCGCCCATAGAGGATGGTAATTTTGTACCGCCTTCATAAGACCATGTATACCGCCTTTCAATTTTGGGTGTACACCAGAGGCGCATTGTAACGCAGTTACCGCAATCATTGTACACCTTCGATAACGCCCCCTCCTTGCAGGCTGACCCGCGTGGACGCGCGCGCCTTCGCGGACAACAAGCGCCTGGAGACGGTGTCGCTGGAGGGCAACGCGCGCCTCACGTCGCTGCCGACGCGCCTGTTCCACGGCAGCCCGCTGCTGGCGCGCGTCTCGGTGCGCGGCTCGGCGCTGGCCTCGCTGGACGCGGCGCACTTCCCGCTGGACCGCCTGCAGGTCCTGGACGTGGCCGACGTGCCGCTCACCTGCAACTGCTCGCTGCTGTGGCTGTGGCTGCTCTGCAAGGAGCAGCGCCAGCACGCCATCGCCGTCAACGAGACCGCCTCGGCCGCCGCGGCAGCAGGTACGTGTCGTCCGCGACGGGGAGGCTCCCGAACTAGGGTGACCATTCGTCTCTATGGAGCACCAGGCCACTTATACGGTATAGGTCCTGCGTCTCGCCGGGCCAAGGGGAACTGTACGCGGCACAGTGGACCAAAAGACCGGTGGAGGCGGCCAACACTCCAGACGCGTTTTGAGCTCAAGGGTCGCTAAACAGGACTCGAACCGAAAGTGTGACCCTATCAATGGATTCCTCATTCGAAGAGCAATCCATTGGTGGAGCCACACGTTCGGTTCGAGTCCCATTAAGCGACTGTGGAGCTAAAAACGCGTCCGGGACTTCTGGCCCACTGTGCGAGGTTCCTCCGACATTTCTAACGTGCCTTGGCCCAGTTTGAGTGCTAGTGGACCAACTATACGCAATTTTAACAGTGAACCCAGGTGATTTCGTTTTCTGACCGGGCGTTTCTGCTTCCAGCTGCCGCGGCCTCCGCGACCGCGACGCCGCCGTCGTCCTCCACGCTGCCGCCGGCGCCGTCCCCGCTGCCCCTCGGCGGCCTCGGCGGCCCTGAGCCGTCGGCGCTGAGCCAGCTGCACCCCGTCATCCTGGACATGGGCCGCATCCGCTGCGCCGGCCCCGCCGCCCTCAAGGGCTTCATGCTGGTGGACGTCCCCGAGGCCGAGGTGCGCTGCGAGGCCACCTGGATGGCGGTCGTCATGGTGACGGTGGTGGTGCTGGCGCTGTTCGCCGCCACCTGCACCGTGCTCTTCTTCCTGAGCTCGGGCCGCTGGTGCAGCCACGAAAAGGACGCGTCCGACGTGAGCACCGACTCGTTCGCCACGCAGCACTCCACGCTGCACAAGCACGGCATGGGGCTCAACGGGCTGGGCGCGCTGCCGCACGTGCCCGCCGCCAGCCCGCACCCCGTCATGATGATGACCCCCGACATGAAGGTGGAGCCCACCTACGCCACCATCGGCCTGCCCGGGCTGCCCAGCAACGGCCTGGGCCGCGGCGGCTACGACGACTACAAGAAGGACTCGGTCAACGTGACGGTCAACGCGTACCAGCGCGCGCTCAACAACTGGGACTCGTCGTTCAACGGCGGCAACGGCGCGCACCACCACACGCTCACCATGGGGCGGCACAACCACCACGACCAGGTGCGGCACGCCAACGGCCACGGCAACGGCCATGGTAATGGCCATGGCAACGGGCACGGCCACGGCCACAAGGGCGGCAAGGCCTCGGCCAACGGCCCCCCGGGGCCCGGCAACTACGGCACGTACCACAACCACTACTCCATGGCCATCGACATGACCAAGAAGCCGCCGCACATCGTGTACGTGTAGCAGGGCGGCGAGCCCGTGCCTCTGCCGAGCACCTTGACGACCCCCTCCGGGGCCCTGGGGGTCTCCGCGGCGCCCCGACCGCCTTGGTGGCCGCGGGGCGCCGCGCCAAGTGCCCGAGGCACCGGCTCAGCCATGGGCCCCGCCGTGGGCCCCGCCGTGGGCCCCGCCGTGGGCCCCGCCAGGCCCGCACGCCGCCGCGACGCGCCGCAGACGCTGCCGCTGTCCGTGCCGGATCACCACGCCAGCGACTCGGGCTGCACCTCCACGTCGGCCTCCTCCACCACCTCCACGCCCACGCCCAGCCCCACTCCGACCTCCACGCCGACGGCCAGCATGACCCCCACCGCGACGCCCGACTCGACCCCCGTCCTCACCCCCAGGAGCTCTCCCACCCTCACCCCGACGGCGTCGTCCTCCAGCTCTTGCCCCCTCAGCCCCTCATTCCCCGGCAAGCTCATGCTCGTCACCTCCTAAGTGGGGAGGGTGTGCTTTACAGTGGGGTTGTAGCTGGCTCAGGTCGAAGAAATAGTTGCAATGCATGTCATCATGCAATGTCATCTGAACGTTAAAATGTGACGAACAGTATTTGTGTTTTTGGTATGCGAGAGAGATAATGAATCATTATTCAAGCGAGAAACAAAGCAACAAGACAACGTTTTGAATTTATTTCTCAGCTTTGTGAGTTCAAAATGAGTGCATAGAAAGACAATGATACTAATTAAATTAAATGCCTTGTTTTGACTGAAAAGTGAATTTTGAAGCTCTAAGTTCATACCTCACCTCTTTGGTTAACCAGTCATTGTCGTCATCAGTGCTGTTAAGGCCTCAGCAAACCATCTGTGTTCGAAAGCAACTTAACAAGCATAGGACTCTGACTGCAAACCTCAAACGCAAGCGGTCCTGTGGGGGGAAAAACGAAAGCAACTTTGAGTCACTTCTTGGGTGTGTCATGTGAAAGGGTCTTTGGAGTAAGTGTACGAGGACCTGTGTTTCACATTGATTATTTATTTATGTAGAACATAAGTATCAGAAAGCCTTCATGCCATCTGTGGAAATTGAGGTGATCCGTTATCAGATTTGTCACTGACTGTTCAGAGAAAAACTTCAATTTTCTTCCTTGCATCTTTTCCTCGGACATATTTTTGTACACATTACGCCAACAGTAATTAGTTGTTATTGTTCTAGTCCTGTTATATTTCTATTTCATTCAAAATCTTACTTTTAATAGTAAATTTATAATAGAACTTGTCTTTATAAGCAATTATTATGACCAGTGTTGAAGACTTTTTTTGCTTGCATGTTTGTGTGTACTGTGCTGTTTCTATAGGAACATAAAAACCCTCATGTTGCTAAAATGGAAAAGTTCAGGAATCTTAGCATTATTTTCTTTTATAAACCGTGCTTGGAAAATGAAAGATATGACATCAAATAATCGCTGACCCAAAGAAACCATGTTTTATCCTTAGGCCGCGTTTATCATTTCATCCAGAGATTTAATTTTTGTATTGTAACACACTCTATGGTTTTTAGAATATTAACATAAGGTTTAGACGGCCTCTTTTAAAAATATGCATTTGTTCTGATTATTGACAGATGTGTTGGGTTGGGACTTTAATGTTAATGCAAGGGTAAAAGACTGACAAGTTTTCGTACACCCATTTTTTGTTATTATTATTTCCATTAAAAATAAATTATATTATGTTATGTATATATTAAGAAACGTACTTAAACTTATTGTAAATAACTTATTTACGCTCATCAGTGAGCTCTCAGTAAAGACCATCAGGTAAATTTTAAGCCTTGTCACGAATCTTTTGTTTTCTTATGTTCATAAATTTTCATTACCATTGAAGTACTCTATTATATTTTTTCTTGTATAGAAAAAGCATTTCCTCCCCATATAGGAATAAGTCGCCTATCTCCTCAAGGTTTCAGGTCATAGATGAAAGTCAACCCATTGAACCTTCCCAAATGAAATGTGGTGGAAGTTGTGTATCACAATATAAAATTTTGGAGCAGTCTTATTTTTTTCTTCTGTGTATTTCAATTGACAGAAGATTTCTGAGGCAACCTCTGCATTTCCATTTTTAGTCATAGTGAATAGAATGGATAGAAGATGTGCACAAAATTTACATCGTGAATTCGTTTCAAATAATTTTGTTTCCCACATTTTTTTGCCATGATGAGAGTGACGATATGGAAATTAAATTGAGTTTTTCCATACGCTAATGGCTTGTCATCCTGATTTTAAAATAATAGTAAAATGAAACATGCCAAATTTCTGAAAGAACTCGCTTTTCATGTGGGGCTCTGCCCTCAGTCCCTTTTTGTTAACGTTTATGACATTGAACGTCGAACATTGTTTGCAACCATGTTTGATTCCATGCTAATTTTGCGCTGTGCCATTGTGCAGTACCTTGTGATAGTAATTAGTAATGTTATCGAAGTGTTATGAATTTCCCTTAGCCAGGTTTTTCTTTACTCCAGAGTTGTCTCAAAAACCATTAACAGTCTTCATGTACATAAATACAATTTAGATCCATACGCTTTCTACTGTGAAAAAAGCAAAACGAAACTTCTGTTAAGTGCATAATGTTAATAAAGAAATGATTTCTCTCCATTTACTTTGTTAATTTTTACTCTCTTTCCTTTGATCATTTGACAAAGTTTAAAAGATGAAAGCTTCATTTGCTAAGTTAGTGATTTAGGCGGAAACAATTAAATGAAAAGATCAAAATCCTCCAGCTAGTGCGGCAGAAGTTACCATCAAATTCTGTGCTACCAGCTGTCATACAAACTCCACTAGCTTGACATCACTAGACATTTTCACATGATATAAAATATCCAGAAACCATTTGGCACAAGGCATGTGATACACGCAGCAATGTTCCATATCAAATTCAGGCAAATCTGACATGGTCAACCAGTAAACAATAAACATTTTAAACGATTTGTCAGATGTTCAAAAATGGCCTAAACTGAATGAAGTATGCCATGCTTGACCACTTCCCATTCCATAGTGTCTTAGACACACTATTTGAGGTCAGTTTCAGCGCATTTAGGCCCACGCCACATAGGTAAGCAACCTATTGCACACAGCCTCGCTCGTCCCATCATCAAAAGTCAACAAGCGTGATGACGAAAAAAGCCTTTATCACGCCAAATACACTACTAGACTCAAGGCACCTGCAGCCCTCAAACTAGGAGGAAGGAGGACAGCCGTAAGAACGAGCAGCCTAACCGACGCTGCTGCTGGTTGGGCTGCCTACCTCCACGGCTGCCACCCCTCGTGAGACAAGTTGCCTGCCCGTTGGGCTGCCTACCTCCCCGGCGTTCTCGTGGCGGGAGTGCCGGTTGGGCTGCCTACCCTGCAGGCGTTCAGCACCGCATGGAGCGATGCAGCAGTTTGGCTGTCCCGGCCGTCCCCGAGGGCCGTCTCGGAGTGCATCGCCGCAGACTACGACGAACGCAACGCTCGAAACTCATCACGCACCCCACGCTCGAAACGCTCGAAACGCTGAAAACGCTCGACTCGCTCGATACAGTCGCACTGTGGGCCAGAGGCCGTCAAAACTCTAGACGCGTTTTAAGCTCCAGGAGTCGCTAAATGGACTCGAACAGAGCGTGTGACCCCACCAAAGGATTCCTCGTCCGAAGAGCAATCCATTGGTGGGGTAACACGTTCGGTTCGAGTGCCATTCAGCGACTCTCTGGAGCTCAAAACGCGTCCGCCTCCGCCTCCGCCGGTCTTCTGGTTCACTGTGCTTCACGCTTGGCGTCCTCGACAGTGTCCTGCATCCACTCTTGACTCTTGCCTTTCTCAATGAAGTGGGTACGGCACATTCATTCCCGGAACGTGACATCACGTTGAAACGAATGTGACAAAATGCCACGTTCCTTTGAGCATTGTGTCACATTCGTTTGGACGCGAATAAGCTAATTTGTAGCTGATTCACATCCAGACGAATGTGACACAATGCTCAAAGGAACGTGGCATTTTGTCACATTCGTTTCGACGTGATGTCACGTTCCTGGAATGAGAGTGGCATCGGACACCTCAGGTCCGACTCGGGGCACGCGTAAATGTGGCTGCGAATTCGGGGTTGCGAGTCGCGCTGTCGGAGCCACCACGCTGGGAAGGCTCGGATTCCTCACAGAAGTCAGAAAGCGGCTCCCTAGAACCCGGCTACCGTAGAACACCAACCCTAAACCGGAGGTCCCCTGACCGTCCGGTTTCTTCCTCCCCGCCGGGTTTCGGCCGGTACAACTCTGGATTTCGAGCGCCTTCACTATCGGTTGGGGAACCGCTGCTGGAGATTCTCTAGAGACTCTAGAGACTAGAAACACTAGTTCCAGCTGATAGCTTTGTGAGCCGTCTGTAGCGCCCAAGGTCGTCGCATTGGATGGCTTAGAGGCTCGCTAATCACGGATATCGCCCCAGACCGAGTAGTTCAGAGCCTCGCCCGTGAGAGTCCGGTTTCGGCCCCAGCGGTTCAGACCCCTAGAGTGCAAGCACCCTTATGTGTTTCAGCCTAAAGCTCCGAGAACTCGGTTGGCCACTTCTGACTTCTGGAAGGAAGACAATTCCGCCCAGCAGGGTGGAAAAGATGACGGTCTCTAGAGTCGGCGTGCGAATATTACCTCACTTCTTTCGGCCTCTTTTTGACCGTAGATCCCCCCTCCCTCAAAGAGACAACGTAATATTCACTTCCCACCCAACCCGAAATTCACAGTCACATTCGCGCGGGCCTCGACTCGGTCCTCAGGTATTCAATCTGTACCTACTTCATTGAGAAATGCGGCAAAGCAAGTGAGTGCCTGGGAGGCAGGCAGGCCACGCTCGAACCTAGAGCCCTGGGTCGACTCTCCAACGCTCGCCTCGGCTCGAAGCGGCCAGCGCGCTAGGCACGGCCACGGACGCTCGGCCAACGCCGCCAACGTGCCAACGCTCGGCCAACGCTCGGCCAACGCTCGGCCCATCGCTCGACACGCTTTTCGAAGGCCGCGCGCACTCTTTTCAATCAGTCCCTCTTCGGTACTTGATGGC